CTTTTTAGATAAGCAGTTCTGTTCCCTGAGCTGAAATCTGAAGCAAAGACTAGGATTTTCTCCATCTGTTCACAGAGCATGGATAAAATTGAAGAAATGTATATGCTTTAGGCAATGCTTTAGGCAAAGTGTTTTTTTAACTTCCATCTGTGTCCATGTAAGATTGATATCTTTGGTGACTTTCAGGAACAATATCACTGGGTTAGTTTTCCCATCAAGAAAACCAATCTATTGCATGAATGCTTACCTGACTGTAAGCTTTTCTATCCATAATACCCCAGAAAGAATTCAAATTTTTGTTAACAATGAGTAGGAATCATTGTCACAGGTTATAAATAATCGTAAAAGCCCTTTGAGATCCCTTAAATAAGTTGTCCGCCTCAGACCTGGGGTTGGTCCCTCAACCTGGAAAGTGGCTTATAAAACCCCAGGGATTGGCATACAGTGAGGCAGGGATAGGAGAGGAGGTGAATGATGAGGTGCTACTCCCATGAGATCTCTGTCCCTCTTTTTCTGGGCTTTCTATACCTTCCAGAACTTTTCCTGGAACCCCTGCAACTCTCCTCAGCCTTCTAATGAAATGTCCCTGGGCTAGGCACAGGTGAGGTCTTTCCTTGCTGTAGAAAGTGAAATCAAGAAACTTTTATTACCTCTTTAGTAGTGATACTTACATACAAAGTAAAATGAGCATTATGAGTTTGCAGGAATCAGGACTCCTATGTCCCAGAAGAGTGCCATATTTCTCCTGAGAGCTATCTTTTATCCCTACGCTATGGCAGCCATTACTGACCCAACACTCTGTGGCCCAACCTCATTCCAACCAGGTGTCCTTCCAGAGGGAGAGGCAGCCTTCCCAAATGATCACACCCTATTTCCCTAAGGCTGCCAGGCCACCTGGGTTTTTCCTGATTAACTTTCATGAGACTCTAGAACACATTATATACACTAAGTACATAAATTAAAAGTCTGCATATGATAGTTTCTTCATTGACAAATGAAGCCTAGGTCCCAGATATAAGAAATAAGTTGACTTACAGTACACCTGAAATTAAAAAAAACTAAAATAAACAAAAATCCTTGGCTGCTTCAGGGTTCACATATAAATATAAAGACCTTGCAATTTTCAAAAGAGATGTCTTTGTACACATCAAAGCAAGGTACAAGAGTTTAAAGCTTGTAATGGATCCTGGAATCCGAGGTAACATGCAGTGTAGGGTGAGGGGAAATTTTCACGTCTCTCTAGCCCATGTGAAAATGATCTCATCTATCTGGCTCCTGTCCACCTACAAAGCACTTCTTATATTGAATTATCCAGGTGGTTGCTCCATCTCTCCAACATAGTATCCATGTATATATAAATATCTTAAATTAACACCAAGCATGATGCCATTTTTAAAAGCTGAACTTGAGCTTTTATAGTATTTTGAAAATCTATAGTTTGGCTTCTATTTCTGGGAATTTTTCATTTTTGTAACATTGTTTTTTAAAAAATTCTCTCAGTTGATTTGTGCGGCTAAGCTCCCCCAGGAATAGGCTGACCTCCAGCAACATCTCACTCCACCCCCAGTAGGAGCTTGAATAATGACTGAGTGACAAAGTGTCTCATTCAGTTATTATTCAACTATATTAAATTGCTAAAGTTGGTAATTGGAGCATATCTTATTACAAAGGCAAAAGTTCAACATTTTTCCCCAGGCACAATAGGCTTGCACATTTAAAAACTTCTGGTCTGCTAAGGAATAGATGTCAGGACATGGAGCATGCACAGATTAAACAGGGAAAGATATATTAGCCAAACCTGGGCAAAATTACCAGGCACTACCTTGAACATACTTAGCATTCTCAAGCCCCATTTAAAGGGGTGCAAGAGAGAAAGTAGAAGGGCATCTTGAAAATGCATCAGTATTCCCAAGCATTATTAGGCTTACACAAACTGAAAAGCTATCATTTTAAATACTAGGGACTGAGGGGCACCTGGGTGGCTCAGTTGGTTGAACATCCCACTCTTGATTTCAGCTCAGATCATGATCCTGGGGTTGTGGGATTGAGCCTCACATCAGGCTCTGTGCTAAGCATGGCTGTTTACTGGAAGTATCATCTGGGATATGGCTGATGGGTCTAATTTGCTCTGAGATTGTATTCCAGTGAAGGAGCCATTTCAGTAGGACAACAGGAGCTTGGGTTACCTGCTTGGATGTGGTCACCCCAAGTCACTGCTTCAAAGGACAAGAAGTATTGAGGGAACAGCAGAAATCATAGTATATGATAGTATACCTCAAAGGCGCCTCATCAGAAGATTCTTTTGGGGCAACTCTAAGAATCTAGATTCCCAGATGCCTTCCCTGGAGATCGTGAATACTGGGGATAGGTCTAGGAATCAGTATTTTTAATAAGTATTCCCATAATTCTTATGGTAAGACAAATGTAGGAAACACTGTTCAATCAGTGATATTCAAGATACATTTTTTCTTTTATTCAGTTATTTAGCACTTGCTATGTTATTTCTGAGAGCGTGATCCTAGATTCCCTACATCATCTAGAGTGTTGATGAAAATCCAGATATTGGGCCCCGTCTCAAGCCTACTATATCAGAATCCCCAGGGATAGGACCCAGAAATCTGCATTTTAAATGAGCATTCCAAGGTTGCCCGGGTGGCTCAGTTGGTCAAGTGACCGAATTCGGTTCAGGTCATGATCTTGTGGTCGGTGAGCTCGAGCATCCTGTCAAGCTCTGTGCTGACAGCTCAGAGCCTGGATCCTGCTTTGGATTCTGTGTCTCCCTCTCTCTCTGACTCTTCCCTGTTCACACTGTCTCTCTCAAAAATAAACATTGAAAAAATGAGCTTTCAAAGTGACTGTTATGTAACACAATTTGAGAATATCTACTGTGTTACATAGCAAGCCTCTTCAAGTTATCTAAGCTATCTCTTCCCAGTTAAGAGGCGTCAAACACTAAATCGAAGATTTATTGAGACAGGGATCGACAAACGACGTATGTAGGAGCAGTGTGAAGGGTGAGGTGAGACAGGCAGCTCTTCCTGCTTTAAACTTGAAGCGTGCGAGTCCTGTAGGAGCAAGAAGGGAAGCTACCCTATAGATGGAGTGTCCAGGTTTGGGGGAGCATGGGAAATGTAAGGGAGGCCCAGGCCCCTTCAGCCTCTGGAGTCTGTGGGCTAACCACGTGCCTGGCTGGAGTTGACCGTGCAAAGACTGCACAATCCCAGGGTCAAGTGGTGGAGCACTGACGAGAACTCTCACTTGGAATTTCCTGCCAAAGCTCCAGCCCTGCAGGACATAAATATACTTTACTTTTCTCCTTTCTTTTCCCATTTCCTTGGTTTTGTTTGTGCAACAGTAATGGAACGTACCCAGGCATTGTTTAATTTTGACACCATATCAAGGTCTGTTCTGAATTCACTTTCTCCATCAGAAGTCTATGGAGTGTTCATTGTTCCTATGGACTTTTACTGATGTACAATTGTTTTAAAAATAACTTGTCCAAGGCATATCTGGAAAATAATAAATAAACTTATTTTAAGTAAATTTTGGCGGATGATTCCAATTCTGATTTCTCTGATTGCTCATGTGGATGAAAGTTCAGGCAAATGCCTCCCTGATTTTGAATGGTAAGAGCCATAAAAAATAACAATAATAATGAAGTACTCAAGAGTCTTTTGTAACTGTAGCTCTAGCATAGAATTTGAAGTCAAAATATCTGAATGAACTCATTTTCCTCACCTAGGAAATGGGAATAATGAGACCTGCTTTAGCTACCTCACAAGGTTTGCTCAGAGTCCCATGACTGTCAGCTTTGAAACTTGGTAAACTATAAAACTTTATACCAACCTTGATTGTTGGTTTTAATAATTTTTTTTCTTGTCACCGTGCCCCCCTCTAGCTTCAGATATTATTGAAACATTTTTAGATAGTATGGATTAGCCTAATATAAAACACTAAAAAGACAAAGGAGTTTAGGGAAAAGGTGCTTGCCATTGAAGTTGTCTTTATTACAGACACAATTATTTGGACCAAAGTATTATATTTGCTAAGGTCTGGGAAGGAGGAAGTATAATCCAAATAGCAAAGGTCCCAGTGACAAATGAAAGACACTTGGAAACTATGGTGCATTGTTCTGTTCTTCTGGAAGGCAAAACACTGCCAGGATGAAGACAGAGCCCTTCCAAGTGGGTGATGAAATTTACTTTATTGACATTATCAATAAGGATGTATTTATGGGAAACAAACATGAAATATAGCTCACACTTATAGACTTGGCAGGTAAGCACAGGGAAGTGGGGTGTCTGATCATGAGGCTTAAACCTTTGGGCTTATTTGGCGTTGGTCTCAGGACTGATTAGCTGTGTGATTTTTTTAGGTAATCCTCTCCCCTCATAGGTCCTCAACTTCTTGTGCATAAAACGAGCATAAAACTGCCCATGACACATAAGAGCATGGAGTATGTTTTTCACTGGAAGTCAAACAGTGTACACAGTTAATTACCAGGTAAGGAACATTACTTCTTACATGCGGATTGAAATCAAGAAAGATCTATAATCGAGTTAGCAAACCACAGAGTAGCATACAGGCCTCTGTTTAATATTTTGACTTGTGTAATATGAATATCTTACTTTTGGTTTTCTGGGTTTTATCCTCTTTCAAATAAGGGCATATATATCTACCCTGTTGTAAGATCATCAAAGGTTAAAAACATGCCCCCCCCCCCCCCCGCCCCGTCAGGACAGCAGATAGAAATGGAATTTCTTTATTCCGTATCACCTTCTATTTGCACTTCCTAGAATCTTGTGAGAAGAAAGCAGAGTTCTGGTACATGTGATGCAAGTTCATGAAGTTAATGGTCATGCCCTAAATTCACGCATATTATGAGTTGATGAATCACTGCTTGGGCTTGCAGAAGTTTTGTAACTGAGAAAAAGATTAGTATAGTGATTGTTGAAGTTGCCAAGTTGACAAATCCAGATAACAAAGAACTTTTCTTTTAGGATTACTTAAGAGAACTAGTGTGTCTGAAACCAGAAGGAATCTTCAGAACCATCACTGTATAGATGAGATAGCTGGGGCACAGAGGTAAGTTGTAGCAGCAGCAATAAGACATGTTTATTGAGTGTTTTATGTGCTAGATATGTACTACATGATATGCATGAATTATTTCATTTCATACTCAAAACAGTCCTCCGAAGTAGGTGCTGCTATTGATGCCATGGTAGAGAGGTTATCAGTCATTTACACCGTAATGAAATGACACAGAGATTTGGAGAAATTAAGCCATGTACTCAGGGTTACACAGCTTGGTGATTCTCCTGAGCTGCCTTGGTGTCTTAGTTCAAGCTGCTGTACCTGAATGCCCTAGACTGGGTGGCTTAACCAACAGAAATTTCTCTCTTACGGTTCCGGAGGCTGGGAAATCTGAAATCAAAGTGCCGGCCAATTTGGTGTCTAGTGAGAGGCTTCTTCCTGGTTTGCGGACAGATGCCTTCCTGATATTGCCTCCTAAGGTGGAGAGAGAGCTTTTCTTAAAAGGATGCTCATCCCATTCCTGAAGGCTCCACCTTCATGACTTAATTATCTCTCAGAGGCCTCACCTGTAAATACATCACACTGGGGTTGAGGCTTCCACATACAAATTTTATGGGGAACACAAACATTCACTCATAGCACACGGTGAGAAAATGTTTTGATTATTAACATTTATTGAGCACACGTTGTGTGCCAAACACTGTACATGCACTGGGAACCTGAAGGTAAAATAATGACTTACGGCCCATCTTTGTGGTATATACAGGACAGTGGGGGACACAGACACACATTAATGGTCACACAAACACATCATTACAAAGTAGGAAACGTGGTACTGAAGGAAAAGAGTAGGCACTGTGAAAGCAGAAAATTTTGTCTGGTCTGAGGAATCACGCTGGCTTCTCAGAGGATAGAACCACTGAGCGAGGCTCTGAAGGGTGAGCAAGAATTCACTAGCACAGCTAGGGGAACGTAAGAGTGTTTTGGACTTGGAAAGTGCAAGTGCAAGACCCTTGGCTGGTGCACTTAGAGCTGGGGTGAGGGTGGGAGGTAGTGCAGAGACATGAGAGGTTGGCAGGGCCAGACTATCCAGGGCCTTGAGATGTTTGGTCTTTGTCATGAGAACAGTGGCTTCTAGAATTCTCAATAAAGGTTACCAGTGACATGGTAGTCACCTCGTTTACAGCCTTTCCCCAGGTTCCTTCCTCCCCAAATGTATGGAACACCTGAGAGCAGTAGCCTTTGGCCCCATGTCTTCTAGTCTTTGAGAGAACTCAGAGGTTCTCTCTGAGAACCTCTGGGATCTTTCTCTGCTCCACTCCTTTTCCATCCACTTAATGTAAGACTATGTAGTAAACTCCTTTAAAACATTTGTGTGGGGGGGAGGGTGGAGGGTTCTCAATATGTATTCTTGTTAATTTTTCCAAAACCCAAATCTCACACACTGTATTGACTCCATTTAGTGAGGCCACTTACGTTTTTGGAACACAACTATTTTTTTTAAACACTGTACTTGTCCAATATTTTATTTTCTTCCATGTACATTAGTAGCTCTAAAACTTCTATGCTATTAAGATCTCACTTGGGTTGAGAAGGCATTCCTCCACTGCCACCATGCTTACTGGCAAAAATCATTTTTCACCCATGGTCTGGCTTCTGAATTTCCCATTAGGGCTTATTTCTTTAGACTAAAACATCATGCGGTATGTTAAAATAAGTGAATAATCTGAAAACATGTAACAGATGATCAGTCATTTATACCATTATGAAAATGACTCTCAGATCTTTTCCATTGGGCAAGTTTCCACAAAGAAACGGAGGGAACATGAAGAAGGTGGGTGAGCTCCTGGTTAAGGCGGGAAGGGAGCTGAGAGGGATATGGAGATGGGAGGGAAGCCGTGGAGTAGAGATTCTGTTCTTGGAAGTCGGCAACTTTGAACAATGTCAACTCTTCTTTCTTTCCCGTTCATAAATGCTATTTATTTATTCTTTGGTAATTATCCATTACAGTGAGTAAATTTCTGGTTAAAATGTTTACTGTGGTTTCCTTTAGGCTGTAATTATTTGAAAACTTCTGATTAAAAATAGTAACTTGAAATACAAACATTTAACCCTGGCTATATAACCAATTGTCCAGATAGACTTAACATTTTTCCACATCTATTTTCTACCCAAATACAGTACAGCATTTTAAAGGAAGACTGTGCCTGAAGGCATCATTTGGCTTAATGGGAGATGCTGCTTTGAAAAAAAGTTAGCTAAATTCAACAGCAGCATGATTCAAGATGATTGACACTTGAGAGTGAGCATCCAAGTTTCTTTCATGAAGAGTAGGGGGAATTTGGCTTCAATTGAACATTTACTTACCAGTGTTTGTGCTACTGGTTTCCAGGCAGTGTATAAATTACTGCTCGCTTGCATGTGGCACAGAGAGTCAAGGCAAATCCATCTTTTAGGGGGCAGCCGGGCTCTACCTGATTTATTTGCTATGGTGCCATTAGGCCGACTAGGGAGGACTCAAATGGAGACATGACAAAATGGCAGCTTTTGCTAAGTCAGGAAGTCTCTGGAACTCCGCTGGTACACTGGGCTTAGTGCTTGCCTGGAAAGAAATATGTTGAAGTGGTTAGAGGGGCATGGTCTTTCTGTTCAAAACTTGTTTCTCCACTGGCTCTAGGTAGTTTCTGAATTTCTATTTCAGGTTGTGCAGCATCATACCAGGTGTTGAGCCAGACGTAACTGCTTTGTGAAGTTTCCTTCAAAGCCTGTTCAAGGACTTTGAACAGTAAAACGTGTCTGCTGTTTGGGGATTGCTTGCATTGTTATGGATACAAAGTGATTCATCCCACTCCCCACCACAACAGCCACTTCTGAATGGAGAGAGGTAAAACAGGTCACTGTGTCACAGATAGCCTAGGAACAGAGATAAACTCAGGGCAGAACTATCCCGATGGAGGGCAGCTGGAACACAATGGTGGTCAGAAACTCACTTGAGCTCTGCCTGGTGGGTGCACAGGGTATCTAATGGAAAGTGCATCTAGTCATGGGCACATGCAGGAGCACCGGTGGAAGGAAACATGCGACACGGATGCTTCTTTCTTAAAAGGGAAATGTTAGCTGAAGGGAAAAAAAGTGTCCTTCCTTTATATGGGAAGCTGACTAGTGGTCATATGTCTTGTCAAATGCAGAAAGGCAGCACCTAGCACGTACAGTGCAGAGTGAGGTAGAGAAGGAATTGAGAGTAATCTCATCAGACATTTACTTGGAAAGAAAGGTTACTTGGTTTACTTGATCAGATTGTGATGATGCCATTTTGAAATCATCTTGCCGTTTCCCCCACTTATCAGCCTCCTTTTTCTCAACCAAAACCATATGATTCAACCAGAAATTCTACTCCACAAGCATCTGAAGAGGCCAGAGGTGCATGGCAGGGGAATGGTCTGAGGGCTCCGCCTCCACCACTGCCCCTCTCCCTCTGCACTTTACAAAGCAAATAGTCCTTGGAGGGAAATCCAACTCCCATAAATCACCAATAACTTTTCTGAACTTGAAATATCTACTGCTCTTTTGCTAGTACTGCAGTGAGGGGAAGTAGTGAGGGGAAGTAGTGTAGCAGTGGTGGGGGTGAGGGGGGTGGGGTGGGGAGGGAAGCCCAGTGGGCTGCAAGTGTACAGTCACAGGAAGTAAGACAACTTCCTGCCCCGCTTGCTCTCTAAGTACCACGCTGAGTGACCCCAGGGTAGCATGATTTCCCTCATGACTCTCAGTATCAGGACTTTCCTGCGTTGATTTATCCCTCTCTCCAGGAAAAAGAAAAAGGAGATAAAATTTGGGGAAGAGGTAGAGGGAGATTCACAGAAGTTCAGTGAAACACCTCAGTAAAGAGAGGAGGGGCAGGGTCCACATCAGGAGGGACCTGACTCCCTTCCCCCATGACCCTTAACGCTCTTGCTCAGCGCGCTCTGGCCTCCAAAGCTCCTTCTTCCTTCCTCTCTCACTTCCCCCTAGAGAGCTCCCGTTGGCAGTAGCAAACTGTTAGAATTTACCCCGTTCTCATAATTTAAGGAGCCTGAATTCCTGCTTGGAATGAGACAGCTGAAGTTCGACCTGCCCTTCCTACTGTTAGGGAATTAAAAGTCTAGCCAACAGACAGAGCTGCCTTCAGATCAGCGTGGAAAGGAGGGCAACTGATTTATTATTTGAGTATGCATAACGGAGCACATGCGGATAGGTAGCTCACAAGACACGACAGCACATACAAGGTGTACAGCAAGGCAGAAGAAAGAGCAATGGAATATCTATCTCTTCAAGAGGGAAATAGGTATATCCTGAGACAGGGTCCCAACTTAACTCCAGAGGCATGTGGTTATCCTTGAGAGATTACGAGGCCCATGACCTTGAAGATGCCTCTGCATTGTAAAACTGGCGACTGGGCTTATCTAGTCCCTTGAGACACCCATTTGCCTTCCAGAAGGTTAGAGCAGGGATTGAGGCCCATTCCCTTTTTAAGGAGACCCTTACTACTAATAGTAACAACACAAGGGCACTTACCTATGGAGTAGACCTCTAATATGGCCCCTCTCATAATTAAATATCATCCTCTTCTTTCCATACCTCCATCGCTGAGGCTGCGTGCTGCCCTTCATTGCTTTTCTCCTTCCTCGCCATCCTTTATCTGAGTGCCTTATCTGAGGAGTCAGGCCCCGGAGTATAGTTTTCTCAGTGGACACCACCCTTGGGCAGAAACAGTTCCTACAGACATGAAGATGTCCCTTCCCTGGGGGACAGGGGCAGGCAAGCCATCAGATTAAAGGACCCCACACTAAACTGTGAGTGATGGAGCCCCTTTAATCTGCTCACCAGAGCTTCCAACACGAAGAGGTAGGCGAAGATTCCCTTTTGTCCTTTAAACCAAATGTTAAATCAGCTCCACAAACCTGGAGATCGAGAGCAAGAAGCATGCGAAGCCTCTTTATCACTGCCAGCTTAAATTTAACTCCTAACACCTACCAGTGCATCTCAAACTTGAGTTGATACTTGCAATG